TGTTGAGGCCTAATGAAAAGCTCTATTGTGCAGCCTTTTACTAACACTCTTTTCACAATTCTGGCTGAGAGAGGAATGTGAATAAAAGGCACAAGCAATTAAGGCGGAAACCTCATCCTTTTTCATGATGTATTTAGGGAAATGGAAAAAAAAAAAGTGCACGTTGATCAGAAGGATGCACTTCAAAAAAAAAAAAAAAAAAAAAGGAAAAAAAAAAGGAAAGAAAGAAGATGGGGGTGAAGCAGAAGAAAAGGAAAACAGTACAACCTTGATAAGATCACAGCATTAGAAGAGGACAAATTTACAAGCTTGTCCAGAATATGAAGTTAACCAAACTCTGTTCACTGTTAGTAAACTGAGCCTCACGCCGATCAGAAAAGGCACTCCCTTGCCTACCGTGCTTTCTTTTAAGTGAGAAAAAAAATCTTGCTTTAGTGTCAGGGTTTGATCCTACAACAGGAAAAAACATGTGAAGTTAAGGAAATCAGATACAAGCCTCCAAAATCCCTGCACCAACTCCACTTCGTGACATACAATTTTGCTTCTCAGGGAAAACGATTTCAGGCTTAGTAAGAACTGCATTGTGCTGAATGAGATAAAGGGACACAGTAAAAGGTTTAAGAAAAAGTTGCAGGCATTTATAAAGGAAAATTACCTGAGAAGGCAAACGTCAAGATGGAGACAGGCATGTTTTAATGTTATAGAGCACTCACTTTTAGTCACTCCTTACGAATCTGATTTTTAAAAATAAACAACATACTAGCCATTCAAAAAAACTATTAAGAAAACTGGTAAAAAGTAATAATAAATGTTACATGCATTGTATTGCTACTCCAAATAGTAAAATCTTTAAGCTCTTTCCACTCAAATAAGGATCACAAGAGCATTTCTTTATGTCCCTATGCATAATTTTGATAGTATTAAAACAGCCACTTGAAATGAGACTACAGAAAAGGCAGAACAGATTATCATGAAAATCTACCTAAATGTTCCTGCACATTTCATTAGGGAGGCAGATTAAAAATTTTACTCCTTTATTGTGCTTTTTTGAGTCAACTGGGAAAAAAAAGAAAAAAAAGACAAATTAAGAAGGCAACGCAGGCTGTTCTGTACAATCATTATTAGCTATTATTGAATCAAAGTTTGTATTGCTATCAAGCCTAAGTTACAGGAAACAGAAAATAAGGGGAAAGACATTTATCTCATGTTTTTGAAATGTTAGGAACAAGCTGTGTTAGATATGCACGTTCAGAAAAACTGCTCTTTATTTTTCCCTTTTATAATGCAACCTTCCTTACAGAGATGTTTTAATTTGAGCATTTTGATCTGCTTTTAATAATTAAATACCATGACTTCTAGAAATGGAAGGCCAGAAAAATACTGTGCTGGCAGATATTTAACTTCAATAAGCATGCCTTCTTGTATTTAAAAACATCTTAAATAAAACTTTGCTGACTGAAACCTCAGACTTTCAAGGCCAGCCAGCCAAGCAATGGGAACCCAAAGGTCCAGCCAGGCAACCCCATTTACTAATGTCTTTGCACTAGCACCACTACACAACTTCTGTTTATTAATTTATTGTCAATTAGCAACAGATTTCCTGACTTTTTTTGCTTGCATTTTTTTTCCTCCCACAGGATGCCATTTTTTCCCATTTTCCTTTGCTTTAACTGAGACATCCATTTTCCATACCATATCACAGATTGTATGAAATATTTCTCTGTTGTGAAATTTTCTGGTGGGTTATCCTGTGGCCCAAAAAGTGGACCTTAAACTTTTTAAACATGGAGAATAAAGAAACAGTGGTCAAAGACCTGGGGTCTAAGAGGCTCTTCTCTAGAAGGTGACATTTTGTTCAAGAACCAGCTATGCAATAATATCAAACTATTAATTTCTCAAGTGCAAAGAAAAAATGAGGGAAAAGTGTCTCACTAGAATGTTGATTTTACAGCCCATTAAAATTTTTAGTTATGAATTATTTCTATTAAAACACATGTATTAAAATATTAACTTCCATGCACTGTCCCACATTCATCTTCTCTCCACAGACGTGTATAAGCCTCAGCCCATCTTCCCACAACCTCATGTTAATTCGAAACTCCCACTATTCTCACCTCCCTGAAGAGCCAGGCAGATTCTCATATTTTCATCTGTTGTGGTAATTCTTATTTTTTACAGTTCATTTGGTAGCTATACCAAGGAGGCGCTTCTGAGATAAAAACATGCTCAAGTCCCCATGGCCACATCCATAGTCCATGGCCATCCACATGGTCACGAGCTCTGGAACTCTTTAGCAGACCCTGCTAGAAACTTCTGCACCAAAACACGCTAATGCAGGTTTTTGGAATTATAAAGAAAAAAACCTGAAATTCACCATAAAAACAGATTATAGCTGTGCAGAGGTAGGCTCTCCTGTTTACCAGGTTGATTTTTTTGTTAGTTCACTGTTTAAAGGTTCTTACATTATTCCAGTGGTCCAAAGTATTTTTAAGAACCAAAAACAACAAAAAAAATCTGAAAGGCTTCTGTAACCTATTACAAATTTTTGCACTGTTCTGCTTTTATAATACCCTCTTTCCATCACTTAGGGGTTTATCAATTCTTTTTATGGTGAAGGGTTCATCCTGCCTGTGTTGCAATTCTTTCCGAAGTGCTACTCATACATAGTACATCCACATTACTTCTCCTACAGTACAGACACAGTCGCAGCAAAGAAGGTGGAGGAAGGTACAATAAGGAGTGGAGATGCCAGCAGGTTTAGCCATCCACTGTGTTTGCCCTGGTACAAATGTCTACCAAAATACCAGCTCTGTCTGGAGGAGCTTACTGTCTGCAGCAGACAAAGCACAAAAGAGAGAGGAGTATGTTCAAACATCATGCCATGCCCTGGGTCACACAACAGGCCAGTGGAAGAGACAAGATTGAAACCCACAAACAACTCTTCAGTCAGGGTCCTTCCCAGGGAAGGAACCTGGCTCTGTATCCATGAGGAAGCCAAACATTTACAGACTTGCATCATATACTGTAGGAGCAGCTGCCACCCCTCAAAATACTAACAAAGGCCTCAAGTCTCCTCTTATAAACAGGGAACTGCTCACTCTTTGCTGTTACTCTAGAACTTGATACCTCTTTCTACTGTCCTTAAATTTATTCCCGTAGCAGACTGAAGGTTTTGCCTGAGCAGTTTTTATTGATTCTGATGTCTGGGAAATGCATGTCTGAACTATTTAATTACTATTTAATTATTCTGTAAATATCTTATTTTTAGATGTAAAGAGTCACTACATTTTTTCCCAAGCTCAGGAATGTGAGGCAAGATACACAATTATTAGAAGTATTTCCCAAGCTATTCTCAAGTTTGCACCACTGAAAACACCAATAAATTCTCAAACAACTACACATTTCAATTCACAAAATTCACTATGAATCTACTAATGCACATAGGCAGGAATGTACCACCCTGCATCTTTCAGCTACACAAAGGTATATTTTGTGCATTCCTTTCACGTTCTGAACTGTGTCTCATTAAGAGAGGACTTTTCTTATAAACAAAGCATCAGTAAGAAGGTTTGTTGTTTTGTTGATGTTTTCTTTAGTACACTCTACAGCAAAATCTGGAGCAAGTCAAAGACTGGGATTTTTATTTTAAGAGCAAGCTGAAAATTATTTCATTAGCTGAAATGTTTTTTTCTAATATATATTTGTTTCCCAGCTACTCAGTTTTATCATTTTGAAGAAAATAATTATTCAAGACTGACTACATGAAAGGAGCATAGAAGGACCTATGTAGTGGTGATACAGCACTTAAAAAAGTGATTGAGATATGTGGACCTGGAGGAGCTGATGAGGTGAATTAGAGGTATTGGTGCATACCCAGAGAAAAGGAGAATGCCAGAGGCTTAAGGAAGAAGGAAGGCAAAGCTAAACCCTCAATTCTGTGCCAATTCTTTACCCTCTTTCTCTATCCTTCTTTTGGTCCGTCTTCCACAACCATACCCAGAACCTCTTTCCTGATAATTTATTCACTGCAATTTCTTTCAATTTCAAATCACACCTTCATCCTTGCCCAAAATAATCTTCCAAGATCTTGCTTACAAGATAATTTTTCACGAAGCACATTCACTTTTAAACCACTCTTTCTATGAACTTTCCCTCTCATCCTCCACTGAAAACACTTTTCTGAGAAAGTAAGTTGTGGTACAGAGCCAAGTGGACATCCTGTCCAAAACTCAATATAACAACCCTGTGTGTTTAAGAACTTGATTTTCAACTGACTAACTCATGGATATTACACAACTGTATACTTGTGGAAATTTAACAGTGACTCTTACAGCATTGATATGTTTTGCAAAATTGATCAAAGGCGTTTAGTAAGTTAAAAAACATTAAGTATTTTTATTTTAAACACATAAAAGAAAGCATAGGAGCTAACATTATGCATGTTGCACCATTCACCTAAACTCCTAAGATGTTTTTTGTATTCCTTTTCCTGTCACTCATCTCATTTAATCTCCTTCATTGTGTAATCCCCCCTAGTGTCTTGTCTTGTCTCCTGACAGGCTGCAAGCTCTTCAGAGCAGGCACAATTGTCTTACTTGCTATATAAATCGAGTTACATGCTAATGTTAAATTAGAATGTTTTGACAGGATTTTAAAGTTGTACCTGATTATATGAAACAATAGAACTCTCTGATTTTATCTTCCTGAAATTTTCTTCTTAAATTAAAATTATACCAGAAGAGGGGAAGCAGGGGTTTTATTTCCTATTATTTTTTGAAACCTTATGGTTTTTCTCCTACCTGTCTTTCAGAGAGAGCAAGTGAAAAATGTTGGAGGTCATGGAAGAAGAAGAAAAAAGAAACAGTGTAAAGACTATAAGGAGTAGGAAACAACCCCAAATTTTTAAATTATAATTTCCCAAACCAGAATGATAAACAAAATTCAACGAAAAATACTGGAATAAACATTTCCTTATAGTAGAATCTGTTGAATGAAAAGGAAATTTTCAAATCTTTACCCTATTTTTGACAAGCTCTAGAAAAAGCCACAATAATTTTGCACTCCATTTATCATTTAAGCGTATTTATAATTAACAGTCACAGCTGATGGCTAGATGACAAGTAAGCCACTGCATCTCATCTCACCACTCATTCATTCTCATCCTTATCACTGTTTTCCTTTTTTTTTTCCTTTGTTTTTGGTGTGACAGTGGACATGTAGTAAGCCTAACTGGAGGCTGTGAAAGACACGAGCAGTGGTCCCTGATGTCTGGCTCTAGGCATTAAGAAAAAGAGTATGATGAAGATGCCACCAGTGGCTTCAAAAAAGAAATACAAACTGATTTCCTGATTTTGAGGACAGCTCTGCACAGTATTGACCAAGTGCTGCCTACAAGGGATTAGCCTGCTTAGCAGTTTAGAGAAACAGTTCAGTCCACGGAAGGGACGGCT